CACACACACACACACACACACACACACACACACACACACACACACACACACAGCACACAGCACACAACTACACGAACACATACAAACACAATTATACGAACACAACTACAGCTAATTACCAAGAAGTTATATTTGTAGCACACACACACATACACAGAAACGAGCTCCCACTATTTTTTTTGTGTCCCAGTTCTAATTCTAGCTGCAAGCAAAAGAATTTGTGTAGACTTTTTTGCAGCTGATTGTAGACTTAGACAATTCCCTACCTTATCCATCCACCAACTTTTTTTTTTGCTAGGCTCAATTGATGATCTGGCAACGTCGCTGTTTGCATTGGTATATATATATATATATATATATTCCTACCCCCCTCCGCATTTCTTAACCCCTATTTAAAATCGAACGTAACCTATCAATATACTAAAATAACCCAAGAAACACACAAACAGACACATACATACACATACACATGCACACATATTCTTTAGTTTTATCTACAAAAGAAAAATGGAAAAAACAAAGAAAACAAAAAATTTGTTATTGTTTTTTTCAACAACAATGGAAACTCTTGAGTGTGCTACGATAACAACAACAACAACAACAGCAACAATAACTGAAAGCAACAACAAGTAAAGGCATTATTTATCTGATTTGTACTAGATTGTACAGTCTAAAAAACAAAAAGCATAAATTAAGCACATAGAGCAGCCCTTAAGCTAACCTCAAAATAAGATATGAATACAAATCAATCTATATGTGTAAAGCGTGTGTAGACTACAGCAAAAAAAAAAAGAAAAGAAAAGAAAACAGTCTCGTACTCCTCAGTTAAATATTATACATAACCGACACGTAATACCCCTCTACCTAAATTTATGATTTGTAGCTCATTTTTTATCTAACACATTCATATTTAGAGATTTACTTTTGTATGCTCATTGCATCCGATAAACAAACCTCCCACCCAATCTTTCGCACCATCTGGGAAGCTGTTGCGCTCCATACTTTACGCTTTACGTAGCTCTTTTGTTTCGCGCTCTCTTTTTAGCATTTGCAGTTACGTTTTTACGTTAGTTCGTTGCGTCGTTTCATGCTCCCATTGATTTTCTCACATTTCGCATATGCATAAAATACATATATTTAAATATATATAAATATATATATATATAATTGTATATATTTATATATATATAAAATAGAGAGAGAGAGAAACTATACTGAAACGATTTTCTGCAGCGCTTCGCATCGCTAACGTCACGTAAAGCAACATGTCACGTAACGCAACGCGTCGTGTCGCGTTCTGTTCGCCAGTGTCTTGCAATACACATGTGATAAATAAAAAGCAATAAATATAAGGAGGAAGAAAAGAAAAGAGAAACAATACTCAAATTAACTTAACGTAACGTAACGTAAGGCAAGCTCTTCCACTCGAATGTAACTGTAACTGCATTTAAATATAACAGAAATACAACTTAAAAAGAAAATCAAAAACGAGAACTAAAAACAAGATGGAAAAATACGACATTTCCAGTTTCAACGTGATTTGAGAGCAGATTTCGTTGAATATATCTATATATGTATGTATAATTTTTTCGGCCACTGAGAGGATTATCGTAACGGCCTAACAACGTTTTCGTGGTGCGGCCTTTGCAACCTAAACAGCCTCACGATGTACCGGTAAATGTTCTCTTATCTAAAAGAAAAAAACTAAACTATTAAAAATGCCAATTTTAGTTTTCTTGTAATTGTTTTTCCTTACACCATCAAAGTTATTTAAATGCATATTTCATTTTCGCCACTTGCTTTACGTTTTTCGCCTCACTGTAACGTCGCTTCACAAGCCACATAAAAAAAAAAAACAAATTACCGCCCGCTACTTCATTTCACTCAAAAATGCATTCTCACGCATAGCATAGGCTAAGCTTAAGTTTAAGCATATCTATCTCTGTCTCTCTCCCTTGGCTGTTTTTTTTTGCTGTACTTACATACACACATATGCATATGTAGGCATACGCACATGGCGACCCACTCGTGCCACTTGTGCGCTGTTGCCGCACTTCATACTCCAAATGGCGTCATCAGATTTTTGTGCTTTTGTGCCATTAGATTTATTGCTGCATGCGGCGGTCAAACGTAAACAAAAATCGAGTGCGACAGCGAGAACGAGAGAAAGCATGCAGCGTGCTCACATGTATGTGTGTGCGTGTATCATGTGCTCTCGCAAATCTGTGTCAGGACCTTGGCATATGTCCGTAACAGTCGCAGTCGCCGCCGCAGCAGCAGCAGCACTGTTAAGCTTAAGTTATGTATTTGTAGCCATGTAAGTTAACAGTAAGCAGTGCAGCAGCAACAGTTGTGATTTCGGTTGTTGTTGTTGTTATAATAGATGCATAGATACAATCACACATTAACTTACACAGACACACACGCACAAACACAGTCAGCCAGGTATAGATTGCCCCTTATATATCTATATAACCAATGCATAACAGACGAATTGCCCATATTTCCTTCTCACTCTTAAGCACTGCAACAGCAGTAGCGAATCTGAAATTAAAAGAAAACTTGAAAAAGAAAATTTTTAAAATGCCAACAACTAGTTTGTCAGGCCTTGAGGCCGCAACAACATCATCACCAGCAGCAGCAATCATCAATGTCAACAGTCAACAACCAAACAAACGAAAGTCAACAACATCAACAGAAGCAGAAACTATATTTAACTGCACGTAAATTGCAGCAACTGTTATTGAACTCCACAACATCAGACGCTGTTATTTAACAGCAGCAGCAGCAGCACCACCACCAGCAACAGGAGCAACTTTGCCAGCGTTGCCACATGCAGGCGATTAGCAAAGATAATAATTTTTTTCCAATTTTTTTTCGTGTGCTAAAAATTGTTTTTTTTTTTTTTATTAAATGAAAGTTTGGTAAAAGAAAAAATGAACGAAAAAACTCCTTTGACCATAACTCACACATACACAACATAACACTCACACACACAATACTCGCATCGATTAATCGATACATATATGAATATGTACATATGAATTAATTCTGTGTTTATCGATCTATTTGCCAGTTGATTTAATTGTGTAGACATGATCTCTTTCCACAGCAGCCAAGCAACAGCAGCCTTAACAACCGATCTCAACAAGAACAGCGAAAACAACGACAGATACAAACGCATCGATTGTATTTAGTGTGGTTGCTTTTCGCTCCACTTCATTATTATTACGATTATTTTTAATATTACTATTACTATTGTTTGAAACAAAGAATATATATAAATACATATATATATTATAACACATATATATATATATATAAAATAAAACTGGTGTGATAAATCTCTGTGAAGTACCCAAACAACAAAATGTTCCTTAAACGAAGACGCCGTCAACGCCTGTAAGTAAAGACTCGTCCTATTTACATTACTCTAAAAAAAAAAAACAAACTAGAAACTAAAAAAAAAGGAAAAAAAAATGAAAAAATACACGTCAATCAATTCCCATCATTCAACAAAAATTGTCCATGTGGGAGGAATCCTATTTTTGTATTATTTTTTTATAATTTTTTTTCAAGTGAAGCTACGAGTTACTCGATTTTTTTTTCAAGTGCAGAGTCAAATCATCTTTTTATTTTCAAGTGCTTAACAGGTATTCTTTTCAGTGTAACTGGAATGAATTCTTATAAATATTCTTTGAAGTGAAGCAAAAGTAAATGAAGTCCGCAGGCAATTTTTTTCAGTGTCACCTAATGTAACAAAAAAGTTTCGTCCGCATTGTCTAAAAGGGGTATCCGTTTTTTTCAGTGTGAATAAGAATAGAAATTTTTTTTATAATTTTTTTAAGTGCATAAAAAATTTGAAAGTGTGTCCAGATTTTTTTCCAGTGTAAAGCCAAAAGCCAAAACAAAAATGATGGTGTATTTTTTTTCAATTTTTTTTAAGTGCAAGCATGAAAAAAAATGTCCAAGTGCAAACAAAAAATTAAAAAAAGAATTGAATATATAAATTTATCAGTTCAAAAAAATATATATTTTTTTTCTTAGCGTTTGCATTGCGCAGAGTTATTTATTTTGGATATTTAACTCTGCTGCTTTTTTCTTCAGAGGGCATATAGTAATATTTGCCTTCTCTCTCTTTCTGCATTTAGCGCCCGAAAGGCTGCTATAAATTATGAGTCTCTCCCATATTAATTAAGTTAGCCTTAGTCTAAGTCTAGTTATAAGTATGATATGGTAAAGCAATGCGAGTAAGCTCTTGAAATTAACAGCCAGCTGAGCAGTTAACAGCTTATAAGATGTTAAATGTGGCCCTGTTAAGGTTAACAGCTGCATGCATTGCTTTGCTTCTTAGATCTAAATGCAAATGTCCACGCTAAGTTAGTTTTTAAGTCAATTCATTCATACATTCAAAAATTCACTTCATATATTTCGAAAACCAAGAACCAAATTTCGAATTAAATCAGTCTTAATTTAATAACCTTCTTGTTTTTTTTTTTATTAATAATAATAATAATAAAAAAAAAGCTAAAATAAAATCATATATTTTGTGTGCTAATATTGTTATATTTTCTTCTCTTCAATCAACCAATCAATGAAACAGCGGTGGACGTGTATTTGGCATGTCTCATTCACTGCCATCGGGAATGGTATGTATTTTCTTCTTTGCTTCTAAATTTTTTTTATAGTAAATACAATAAATTTTTATATTTTATTTTGAACATAAAGTTCGAGATCAATTAAACTCAAATTTCATTGCATGAGCAATAAAAGAATTTAAAAAATTACAATATACGAAAAAAAAAAAAAAAATCAATTTGCAATTTGCATTGATAATTGAATTTTTGTTTGGTTTTCGTTTTTGTATGTTTATGCAAAATATATTTAAAAATTTATTCTAGTTGAATGTTATTGAGTTTGTCTCATTGAACGCTCCTGGGGCACACACGCTTTTAATCAGAATTAAAAAAAAAAAAAAAAAAACAAATACAAACAAATAAATACAGTTTTTGTGGATGCTCTCAAAATATAGTTATATATATTTATACGAATATTTTCACTTAAAGAAAACGTAAAATAATCCAATTAAATAAATACAACTTTAAATTTGATAATTTAAAATTTGCATTTTGGTCAGCAAAACAAACTACAAAACTTAAAAAACAAAAATGTCACAACAACAACAACAACAGAATTAAACTGAAACAGCAACAACAATAACAGCCACACAACAGTAACAGTAACAACAACAGTTCAATCACAGTAAGAGCAACAGTCACACAACAACAGCAACAGCATTATTTCTTGCGCTGTTAACAGCATTTCAATAACAGCTTTCTGCTGTTCATACGTTAATCTTATCCATTCTCTTACACACTTCCGTATATACGCTCAGTCTCACTCAATGTCATAAACACACACACACACACACACACACACACACACACACACACACACACACAC